GAGTGGACGAGATGGAGAGGCTGACTGTCGAGGGAGGAGAAGGAGGCGGTGTGCAGGTAGCTCGGATTCACGGTCGCCAAGTGGCCGTTGCGAGTGTGCGTTGTTCGACGCAACCAGTGCTCGAGGTAGTGCGGCTGCGGAGGCGCGACGCGCGGTACCGTGGGCGGATGGCAAGCGCCCGGCCGAGAGTAGATCGGCATGGACGGATGCAGACTCAAGTCGCCGAGGCAGATGGAGGCGATGACACGCCCGTCTGACGGATGAGTCGTCGTTCCACGCCTCGAACGTTCGAGTCCGCAGACTGAGGCAATCGGCGTCTTGCCAACCGTCGTCAGGCTGGCCGGAGTTGTGAGTCTGAACATGGCGCTATTGGTCGTGGTGGTGGTCGTGTTGGTTGTGGTGGTGGTGTTGCTGGTGTTGCTGGTCGCCGCCGTCGCCGCCGTCGCCGCCGACGACGACGACAACGTCGACGATCCGCCTCGAAGGGTCGTCGAGGCGGCGATTCGCGGAGTCAGACCGGAGGTCTTTGGCAACGAGGCGGCTCGCCGGAGGCAGGTGAACCGAGCCAGACTGGCACAGCCCTGCCAGAGCCGGCAACCGACCGGCCGGCCACGGTCCGTGGCCTCCGGCTCTGGCGAGACCGAGTCGGGACTCGGAGGCAGAGTTTGTTGGTCGGCGGGCCAGGCCTCGGAGCTCGGCGGAGCCGCGTCCAGTTCGTCCACCTCCACTTCCACTTCCACTTTCGCTTCCGCTTCCGCTTCCGCTTCCGCTTCCGCCGGACTGCTCATGCGCGCCTCGTCCATCAGCCACGGCCACGGCCACGGCCACAGCCACAGCCACGGTCGAGTCCGTGCCGGCGAGTTGGCCAACTCCTGACGCGTCTGCCGGACGTCCGCATCGACACCCGACGACGCTGTCTCCGTCTCCGTCTCCGTCTCCGTCTCCGTCTGCCTCGTCCTCGTCCTCGAGCGCTTCTGCTCGCCCAACTGCGAGAAGCTGCCGAAAAATGCCGCAATCTCCGACTGCGTCAGCTCTACTCTGCTCCGGCCAGTCTCACTCGGCTGGGCCACATTCACATAATCCCCAGCCTGGCAACGCGACGGCCACCGGGGCTGCGAGACACACTCGGCGCCGGACACTTGTGCCGAGGGCGGAGAGGGCGGAGAGGGCAGGAGCGCATCACATGCAGGCCACGACGCCTCGAGCAAGACCTGCAGAAGACGATCGTCGCAGTCAAAGCCGATGCCATGGCACTCGTGACTGGCCGAATGGCCCTCGGGCATGTATGGCACACAAACCGCTCTATCCAATGCCGGCACGCGCATGCCCATCTTCACTTCACCCTCACCATTCAAGTACCCTGCCATGCCACACACACACACACA